CTTAATTTCACAACATGAATTAGTGGGAGCGGTGCAGACCTAGTGGCTTGAGCTAGGGTTTAGCGAAGAAGAAGATAGGGAAGATCCAAAAATAGAGTGATTAAAACATTAGAGATAAAAGAAGGAGCACTTGCTGCTCTAGGGTTTTAAATAAAAGACCACAACAAGATCATCCGTTATACTCGAGTACATTCCTTATAGAAGACAACCCTAAACAAGGCTTAATCCTGGCCATCCATCTAATCTAATCATGGTCATTTATCATAGAAGATTTGTAAGTGAATAAAAAGGCATAAAAGACTCTAGAAACTATTGCTCATGCCCTTACCTGAATAAAAAGACTAAAAAATAAATAAAAGGTATAAAAGGATAGAGTCAGTGACTAATTTGCCCTTTTGTGGGTCCTTATCTAATCTTTAAGCTTATCTATCTTGTCTAATAGTTGAGAGCACTATTTTGGGCTGCATTAGTCCCCCCTTCCTCAAAAGAATTCTCCCTCGAATTGGGCGGCTCGTTTTCTGAGGTATCAACACGATAAGGAATGAGATGCTTGACATTAAAAACATTAGAAGTTGGGAAGCTTCAATTTGTAAGCTTCAATCTTTTGCACCACGTCACATGGTCCAATCCTATGCTGGCTAAACTTTGGATATTGTGTCATTGGAAATCTATCATTAGTCAATACTGCACACAAAATATTCAAAATAAGAAAACCTATGCTGGTGATGCTTGTCAGCGGCTGCCTTGTATTTGACATCGTACTCCATGAGTTTGTGAATGCACAATTCCAATGAATTGTATTTTATGGAAAACACAATCACCTGTTTTGGACCAAATAAAACATCAAACACATCGCAACCTCTCAATAAAACATTCGGCACTGCCTGATCATGAAACCCCTTCATGTCAATTTTGGCAAATACAACATGAGAAATTAGTAAGGCAAAGTAAATTTCTCAATAAGAAGCTTCATGCCATGGTGCTCAATTTACTACTTTGCCTCTATCAAGAGTATGCTAATTTGTCTTTATAAAAAAAAAAAGAGTATGCTTATTTGTCCAAATAAGGGAAAGCCCGTTCTAGTGTACCCATAGTTAAGGGAACCTTGTGGGCAGGGTGACAATCCCGCTCTGGAGCCTCGATCCCATGATTCCTACAAGGGATCTTGTAGGGACCCTGTTTTTTCGATTTTGGGATCTCGCTCCCAAAAAAAAGGGACCACGTTCCATCCATCGGTGGAATCCAATTCTATTTCGAAATAGATCACCGGTTCCATCAACCATGGTCCAAGGTTTTGGTGCTTTAAAATCTTGAGTTTTCATTAATGGATGATACCAAGTTAGAGATTGCCATTGTCCGAAGTTCCCCTTATTTTGGAATCATAAATTCCATGATGTAAAAATCCAGTCCTTATTTCGCATAGCATGAAGTTCTATTATTTTAGATTCTTAATTTGAACTAGGCATAGTCTAGGGTGACCCAATGTTTTATTACGTCCTAATGTGTAAGCCATCCCTCTTAGTTGTGAGAATATACATTTCATTTAAAATTTTGTATTTATGATTACCTATTGTTTTAGAGTCTTAAATCTGATTACAATTGTGAGGAGATGAGAATATATGCTTTTATTTCAAGCTTTAAAAAACCTTTTTTACATCAGAGAGAGAGAGAGAGAGAGTAGTCCATCTTGTCCTCTTGCCCCTTCGGAGAGCTAGCCTTTGAGAGCAATGGAAGCAAAGGAGACTACATTCGAAGAAGATGACTCTGGAGTGGTAGGATTCTGGATTGCCAGGGACTTAGAGAGAATGGTGCTTGTTAAGCTTGTGTCATGGCCTGACGATGTAGTGGTTTTTAGAAAGACCAACTTATAGAGCTACATAATTAATCTGTTGTTATTCACACAAAAATAAATCAATGTATTGTTAAGGGCAGGGGACACTTGATAAGAGATGCCTGGTAAATGGCACTTACTGACCTCATGGCCAGTAAGCCGAGGAACTAGATTCCTATACTTTAAGAATTCTGATATTAGAACAGGGGAAACCCCGTTATATGACATACTTAAACCTCGATTCCTTAACTAAGGGAACTCGTACTAGCTCTACTTACGACCTCATTGTTTTGTATAGTGGAGCTTAGATTCCTGCTAGTCAAAACATCAAACCCCATTGACATCGGATCTTGCTCGCATAAACCTAAGGATCTCGCTCCTTGTCTTGTTCATTGTATGGACGCCGTTCCTAACCCCAGGGAGCTTCCACTATATGGCGGTTTGACGAATCCCGAACCGATCCCACTTCCGCGCCCACCTCCAACAACTATGAGTGCACAATACCATTCAAGAGAGAACCCATCCTTTTCACAGATTTCCACTGGTTTTAACCCTTGATGTACAAGGAAATGTATTCCAAGAATGCTATAAGCATACTGATTTGCATGCCAACATAATGGGCAATACTTAACTGGCACCAACAATAGTGCTAGATGCGCATGTCCATCATCAACGAGGAATATGCACTTTTACCCAATTTTGACAAGACCCAATTCAAGAAAAGTAGAGAGGAATGTGTTCCAAATTACTGCATCTCTCATAGAAACTTTGTCCATCACGTTCATGTTTTGTCCACATGAAAAATTGTAACATTTGTAGCACATATGCATAGTATTATTGTCCATGAATATACGTGAGATAGCTTGCTTACAAACTTTAATTGGGTTAAGATGAATGCATTGCAGCCACAACCTCTTTCCATTAAAACTTGGTGAGTTGTTGTTGGGGCCCTCCATTCAAAACAAAGCAATAGTCCAGCGTAATCACCCCCATCTTCACTATCATAAACACTGTCACCACCACTATCTTCCTGTCCAATAGCATGTTCTTCACAAGGTTTCAAAAAACGCTAGGCGGCCCCGAGGCGGCCTGCCTTGCGCCCAGAACCTTGGGCGCCCTGTAGTTTTTTTACTTTGGGTGTTTTCATATATTGAGGGTTTTTTCTTTCTTTTATTTTTGACTTTGAGGGTTAAAAATAAACCCCATAATGTTTTTATACAACCTTGGGGGTCAAAATGACCCCTTTTGCCCTTTTGTGCGGTTTAAAAACACGAAACAAGCCTTACAGCCCTGTGCGTCCGCCCAGGTACATCCGCTCGTGTAGGGCCGCCTGGGTCTAAGCGTGCGGATTTTTGGTCTAGGTTGCCTAGGTTCTAAGTGGACCGTTTTTTAAAACATTGGTTCTTCATTAAAGATAGGATCTTCTTCTTCCTTTTCATCAAAGGTAGGTTCACCAACTTATTCATCATAAATTGATTCTTCCACTAAACTCGAATCCTCATCAAGGTACACATCAAAGATTGGTGGTAAGTCCCCATAATCACTGTAGATCATTTCTGGGTCCTCTTCATCAACTGGCTCATCGTAAATGGGATTACATTTGGGAGAATGCTCACTGAGATCTCAACCTTGAGATAGGTTTCTCATCTCGTACTATCCCTGTCCGTGTGATTAACTACCTCTCTCATTGGAGCTTGATCATGGATGGGATTTATGGATTTCTCATTTGCCTCGATCTCATGCTCCTGAGATGGGGTTTCCATCTCTGCCAAATATAAAGCTAGGGTTTCAACCAATCTCAGATCTGCAATCCCTTCTCGCGAACTAGCATCAAAGTGTCGTATGATTGTCCCTTTTCCTCCTTTTTCTCTACGTGGAGGCATGGTTATTGATCTAGGGTACAAAAGTCAAGGTTACAGTACCATGCTATAGTATTTTGCTATAGTATCATGTTTAGTGATCGTCGGGCTCTGATACTAACCTGGCGCAGACCTAATAGCTTGGTCTAGGGTGAAGCAAAGAAGAAGATAAGGAAAATCCAAAAATAGAGAAAGATTAAAAAATTAGAGATAAAAGAAGGAGCACTTATTGCTCTATGGTTTTGAATGAAATTCCATAACATGATCATCCATTATGCTTAAATACATCCTTTATAGAAGAAAACCCTAAACAAGACTTAATCATGGCCTCCATCTAATCTAGTCATGGCCTTTTATTTAAAAAGTCTTTTAGCAAATAAAAAAACATAAAAGACTCTAGAAATTACTAGTTATGCCCCTAAATGAATAAAAAGACTCGAAAAATAAATAAAAGACATAAAAGGATGGACTCAATGAATAATTTGCTCTTCTGTGGTTCCTCTTGTGAACTTTAGGCTTATCTCTCTTGTCTAGTTATTCAAGCATCAGGATTCTCTAATATCAGCTTGGCGCAGACCTAGTAGCTTGAGCTAGGGTTTAGCAAAGAAGAAGATAGGGAAGATCCAAAATAGAGAAGGATTCAAAAACTAGAGACAAAGGAAGGAGCACTTGCTGCTCTAAGGTTTTGAATAAAAGTCCATAACAAGATCATCCATTATGCTTGAGTACATCCCTTATATAAGACAACCTGAAACAAGACTTAATCTTGGCCATCCATCTAATCTAATCATGGTCATTTATATTAAAAGACTTTAAGTAAATAAAAAGACAAAAGATTCGAGAAATTACTACTTATGTCCCTAGGTGAATAAAAAGTCTCGAAAAATAATTAAAAAACATAAAAAGATAGACTCAATGACTAATTTGCCTTTTGTGGTTCCTCTCTTGTCCAGATACTTGAAAGTAGTATTCTGGGTGCATCAGGGAGTTCAGAGTGATGTATATTCATAGCTGACCTTTTTTGTAGCAGCAGTTTAATTATTAAAAAATTTGATTTTATTATTTGCAGCTGCTTTCTTGTTGAGGTACAAATAATATTTTATCCTTTATTGTTTGTACATATTACTTTGTAACCGCTTTTGGAGGATTATGTTTTAATAAATGTCAATAAATTAGAAAGGGATTCTTTTATTCTACCGAATGAGATTTAAATTCTAATTAAATTCTTTTTAGTTGATTTCTTAAAGAAATAGATTATGCAATTGTCCCACATACTTACACAATCAACATAATATGTGATTTCATTACAGGTTCTTGTCAATTACGCTAGATCCTCTAAGGAAGCTGAAGAAGTGTCTAAAGAGGTTAGTTTCATGATGCACAGACGCATAGACTTGAACACATAAACATGCCACATGCAAACACAGATGCATGTGCACTGCACTAGGCACCTGTGTATGAATATTTGTTGCCCATGATTAATTTCTGACTTTTGTTTATATCTGTTTCCAAATTAGCTTAAGTTCGAAATTAACTGTATTGCATGTTGAGAGGTATTATCATTGACATTCGTGTTGATGTATGTCATGCTGTCATAACATATCACATGCACTAGATGTCAGTGGGCTTGTCTTCTGTCTGAGGCCATAAATGCAAATTATTTATTCTTCCATACTTATTTGCAGCAATAAACTCTGAAGAATGATTCGATCATTATATGGTATGATTACGAGGCTTCTGAAAATGTCCCAATATGTTGTAAGTATATCCATCCGGGATCTGTTTTCTTAGTGGGGAGTCTGGAGCACCAATGCATTGCTTCTTCTCCAAGAAACTTGTATAACATGTATCAGAGAGGGTAGAGCTGAGAAAGATAAAATAGAAAGAAGATGCATTTTGTGCAGTGTACCTATTGTGAGTGTACCTCACTTTCAAAAGAAACCCATGTGGGCAAGTTTGTTTGAGCCACATATAGGCAATTTGTCCCTATATTAACAATGTTTAGGGATCATGTGGCACCCACCACGGACTCCCAATTCCTCAAGTCCATTTCTGCTGCTGCTCGTGCTTCTCTCATGCTCTTTGCAACTATACTGAATTTCCTTGAATGCTAAACATGGATAATTGATTGTTTCTAACCAAAATACTTTTTGATTGGATTTGATTCATTTGGGAATGCTTTAGAGATAATCCATGCTATTAGTTTATATCTCAATGGAATTTGTTTTTACTTTGTGGAGCCAATCTTGTATTCCCGGGACCATTATGTGTTAAATGTAAGGTAAGTTGACTGAGTTCCTTGGTCTTTTGGGATGACAAAGGACAGTAAATAGTCTTATTCTTTATTAATGGTATTTTATTTATTTATTTATTTTTTTAGAGTGTTTTGTGTTGTTTCCCTATATGTTCATGATCTTCGTTGGTCCTAATCTTCTAGTCTGATACAGATTGAAGAATCTGGTGGTCAAGCCCTTACTTTTGGTGGAGATGTTTCCAAGGAAGCTGATGTTGAAGCCATGATCAAAACTGTGAGGATGGAGCTGCTAATGCTGATTGGCTTTATGGATAGTCTTATTTGCTTTTTGTTCGCAGCTGCAACATTCTTACTGCTTCATTAAATCTACTTTGCAGGCTGTTGATGCATGGGGAACTGTTGATATATTAATAAACAATGCAGGTTATTTACCTTAGTTTTATTTTTTTTACATTCTTTATCCTTTTCCATTTACAATATCTTTGAAAGGCTGTTCTTTCTTTTCAGGTATTACACGGGACACACTGTTAATGAGAATGAAGAAATCTCAATGGCAGGAAGTAATGGATTTGAACCTTACGGGCGTTTTTCTTTGCACACAGGTCTGTCTATTCAAATACTCGAATTTTGAAAACATTTAGAGAGTTTGAAAGGAATTCAAGAGTACAAATGTTGGTCTCTTTTTTTGCAGGCTGCAGCTAAGATCATGATGAAGAAGAGGAAGGTAATACTGGTGTTTTGGGCACATTTTCTTTTGGCAGTGGTTGTTTTTCTTTTATCTGATGTTATGATGCAGGTGAGAGAGGTCTCTAGTAAACAGGATGTATGGAACTAATTCATTGATTTACATAACAAGGATTCAGTCCATATGTTAAATGAGATGCCGTTGACTGATGTAAATATTTTGCATTAATAAAAAAATATTTTGCATTAATAAAAAAATATTTTGCATTAAGTTTTTATTATTTATAGTGAGCAATGGTGTATGTGGATCATTTACTTTTTTCTGCTGAGGATATATAGTCATGGCACTGAAGTATCAAATATTCTTTCATCTGATGCTATAGTGCTAGTGACAAGAATCTCTTGGTAAACAGGATCAATAGAACTAAGTCACCATTTGTTTTTTATTTCTTATTATTATAGAGTTGCATATTGATATTATGGATGTTCACTCCATATGTAATCTATTGTGCTATTGACATGTTTCATTTATCATGTGCATAGATATTTACAGAGAATACTATCTGACATAGGTCATTAAATCTCTTCAGCTGAGAACTCATTCCATTAGTGTTGATCACATATCATATTCTGTTACTTATAGCTATTGCTTAACCACTTCATATGTATTTTGACTGCGTCACTTTAGTCTTGGCGCTTTTGTCTTTTAACCATTTTAATTGTTTGTTAGCTATTATGCTAATAGGAAATAAGTCAAGTTGTCATTAGTGATGTCAAAGTA